TATTATTGAATAAAGAATCTGCTTCCCTAATAGTAGATTCATTTCTCTTGTAATCACTGTTTGGTGGTTGAATTCTCATAATACAACTCCTGTTCTGTTTTGGATCTATCAAGTTCCTGGCCAATGTTGAGGAATGGTTTCCATGTTTTTTTATGAGAAACCAAAGACGGCTTAATGAGTATGAGATCTTCTGTAAGGTTAAAAAGTTAGCTCTAGAAAACAATGATTAAACTTCTTGTGCTTTATGGTAACAAAATGTGGAGCTGTTAGGAAGATATTCATAAGATGAAACGTAGGAAAAATGAGGATGATAAGATGGGAACCAGGTCATATGAGAACAGATGACATAAGAACTGAAACTATACATCAACAAGTAAAATGGCGCCAATTGACGATAAATTAACGGAATGGTAACTTAGATAATTGGGACACAGTATGCGTAGGCCTAAAAAGTCATACAACGTGATCTCACTAGAACAAGTTAGAACTCGATAAGATGGGGCAAAATAACATATGGCTTGTTTTGGTTGCTAAGAATATAGTTGGTTTGGTTCTTCCAGTACAAGAAGCAATGATGCAGACGGCGAAATAAGGTTCCCGTAGCTGACCCCAAATTTTTTGAGGATAAAACATAGTTTGTTGTTTGTTTGTTTGGTAAAGAAGCACTAGTTTAATCCTTGCTATAAACTAATATGAATAATGTATATCTCACACCGGACTGTAGCCCAGTGTGAAACATGGGAAAAAATAGAAATTTCTCTACTTTATAAAATTGGTCCAAAATTTTTAGTTTTATTTCATAAAACTAGCCCAAGAGTTCCAAGCCAAATCAAAATTTTAGCCCACCCTAAAATCTAATCCTATATGGTACCCAATTGGGTTGGGGTAACAAACAAGGTACCTGATTGACATTAAAAGTACGTCGCTATACAACTGGAAAGCATATCTATATTCAGTGAGGAATATTTATCCAATGTGGAAATGCCGATCTGAAATGTGTACTTACACAACAAAATATCACTTGCAATAATCAGGTCCCAACATGGATCAGATATGGGAAAGGCATCTCCCCAGGTATCTGAAAACATAATGAGTCAATGTATAAGAGTTCCTCGATATAAAATGGGGCAATGAGATACATTATATTCAGTTTATCAAAAGACGACAAAGTGCAAGAGATCTTACGTTTTATGTGAGGAAGGACAGGAGTAACTCCATTTATTTGGCAATTATGAGCTATGTTCTCCTCAATTTCCGCATCATCATAGTCTGATGTTGTAATGTCAAGTTGAAAAGATTTGTGCAGAAAGATGGCCAAAGCTCCAGTTCCACTAAATTCAGGAAATAAACATCAGAATGCTAAGGAAAAAATGACTGGA